AACAAAAAAAAAAAAAAAAAAAAAAAAAAAAAACACATCTTAGTAAAACCAATACCTTCTCAGCTTCGCATCGAAGCTAAAATCAATTAAATAATTAAGCATGAATGATACAATTATACATACATAAACACAACATTAAATGTATATTAATTAAAATACAAGAAATAAATAATAGCAATATTTAAAAAAGAACAATTTTAAATTACAAAAATCAGTGTAGCCCTCAAATGAACATAACAAAATAAATAACAATTAATAAGTATTCCACTTGAAGAGTAAATTCAGTTGCAAATACATAAAAATAACATTAAATGAGAAATAAAAAAATAAAATGAAATAGTACTAATACTTAGGAAAGTTAGTTAATTTGAAAAGAAGAAAGAGAGAGACGTGTTAATTTTGATTATCTATATAAATACATAATTAATAAAAAATGTACAATTTAACAAAGACGCATATAGCATTTTAAACTAGGGGTGCTCAAGTTCCAAAGATAAAAAAAAATTTTCTTGCTCTACTTGAAATAATGTACCCAATTATTTTTTTCCTACAACTGTGGTATTACACTAGAATTATTGAAACCAAAATATATAACTATATTTAAAGTGAAATACATATACTACACCGATGTCATTGTACACTCATAATATTGAATGATATTTAAAAAAAAAATAATTATTTATTCAATAATATAAGGATTTATTTTATTTTTCATAAACATTTTTAAAAGAATGGTGAAATTTGTTTAGGGATGCTAATGTCATCCCACGGGGGGCTACTTAGCACACTTTACTGTGAACATATTAACAAATATAAGTTGTAATTAAATGTTTTCATTCGTAAAATTTAAGAAATCTTATAATGCATTTAATTCATGCCAGGTGCGAGACGTTAATCATAAAACGCATAGAGTCCAGAAAACCCATTTGTCAATGATCAATAGATATTTTCTAAAATTTAAGTCCCACCACCTATCGATTATAACAATGTCTTTATGAATTCAGATAAACGACAACTAATGGTAAGTCAATAACAAAGTACAAAATAACTGGTTTTGATCGTACGCCAGGGAGCAATTAAAGGGTGAGGCTAATCGGTTACCGCCGCTCAATAAGAAATTCGTCACGTTATAAATGCCACTACGGACCGATACATGTCGTTAAACAAAAATTAAATTATTTGCATAAAAACTGTTTCGTGCGGGACAACTTTTATCAATTTGTTTTGTCACCAAAATCTTCAATTTTTCACAAATAATTTTTTCATTTAGATTTTGGCAAACATTTTGGGACACTAGCATCAATACAGATCAAATAAAGTTGTCCCGCACAAAACATATTTAAAATCAATTATTTTCTGTATGGCGTCATTTAACAAATTTGGATAAATGTTATGTCATAGCATTTTTTTGTTTAGATTTTTGGTTCTGTTTTTTTCCTTGACGTGCATTTACTTTTCCAATGTGTTTTTTAGGCATATCCGATTTTTTTAACCTAAATATTATTATTACTTTGTTTCGTGTAGTTTGAATAAATAATATAATCAATTATTGATACCAAATATTTAAATTTAATCGCTTGATACATTATTAAAATGATCTGATTCAGATCTTATTAGAGATAGAAGACAAACTTAAAAAGTATTTAACCTTCTATAAATTGAGAGGTAATTAATACTCAACAAAGGCAAAAAAAATATTTCAAAAGTTATTATTACTTTAGAAAAAGTTTAGTGTTCAATGATAAATCAATTACTTTTTATAGTTAATGAAACAAATTTAAAAAATATTTTTAGTGATATTTCACACAATTTTAGCTTCGATGCGAAGCTGAGAAGGTATTGGTTTTATTACAATGTGTTTATTTTATTATTATTTTTTTTTTTGTGTCTGTTACCACTTTTTCTCAGCTCTCACCGAACGGATTTCTTTCAACGATACGTCAAAAGATCACAAATCGTATCTAGTCGAAGACATAACCCTTCAAAATTGAAAAAATTTCCCTCGTTCCCCGTAAATGGGGGAAACCTCCAAAAAAATTACAAATCAAAAAATCGCTAATTTTCAAAATTTTTTGCATACATTTAACCCTTTACCTGCTCACAGGGAAAGATTTAAAATGACAACTTTTTCACAAAAAATTAACTTTTTCAACTTAACTTTTGAAAATGTTCCGGAATGTCTGACACTTTTATATATATCTTAAATTAAAGCTAATGTAATATACTTTAATTTGAAAAAAAAAAATTTGACCTCTGGACTTGTCTTCACGGCGAAAATGGCTACCGAATGCTATTTTCGTGTGAAAATTCTCGATTTTATTATTTATATTATATTTAACTTTATAATGCTATAACTTATTGAAAAGTTTATGGATCCACACAATTTTTTTATGAGAAATAATATTTTTTAATAAACCTTTTTTTATTCGACATACTTTATCTTAATCGAGATATTAATAAGGAACCAGCAGATCAAGTAGCTTTTGGAATAAAACACCAATTTTTTTAAAATTAAACACTATCTAAAGATTTGCATCGAAGCGTTTATTTTTGATAGTGATTTTAATCACTGTCAGATATCATTATACTTGATCCAACTATGCCACGTCACCACTGTGCCGCGATCCCCCTGTGCTGGTTTTTTTTATTTAACAGTTTTATACATTTATTAAGTTTATAATTTTGTAAACTATTATTTATATTTTTTATTATTAAATGAAAAGTTATTACAGTGCATAACTGATTAAATTGTTATTAATTACATTATAAGTATAATATCAAATAAAATTTAAAACTTCTATTAAATATAACAAACAATTCTACTAAAAAAAGAAGAAAAAAGAATAACACTAATGTGTTAAAAGTGATGCTTGAATAATTTGTACTAAAAATTGAAAAAAAGGACATAATAAACAAAATACGTTTGATAAATGCAATCAATGAACAATTATTTTATTCAAATAAGATTTAAGTTTATAAGTAAACTGGCAACGTTAATTCCATAAGTCTGTATAATTAAAAGGGATAGAGTGTTGAAATCATTCTTAACGCTTATGAATATCACAAGTTGCCAGTTAGCTTATTAACTTACATTCTAATAATAAATGTGTTAATAGAGATACTGGTATCATGTGGAAATAATAAGCTATAAGAATGGTTTCTGTGCTCTGTCCCTTTTAATTGTAAAGACATATGAAAGCAACGTTGCCAATTTGCTTATGAACTTATTTCTAACCCATGGGACAGAAAAGAACACAACTGAATAAGTATTAGTAAAGATAGGTTTCCTATTATCTTACCATTTGGCATCCAAGTCACGTTCTCTCATGCAATATTTTCATTATAATGTACATTTATGACACTTTAATTTTGTTTATCTGATTATTTGAATTTATCGCTCTGACTTTTTGACTTGAGTATTCATTTTCTATAGTCCATAAAATTAAAAATAATCAATAAATTGGTCACCAATTTAGTACTCAGCAATTGCTCACTTGCAGTGTGTATTAGTAATCGGATTTTACCGTTACACATTTTCAGTCGCATACTTCTAGACGCTTAAGTATAAATATAAGTTTATTTACTGAATTAAATAGTTGTCTATTTTATAAGCTTTTAAAAAAATTAAAGTTAAATTAATATTATATTAATTATCAAAGCCAAAAAAAATATTTTCAAGATTATTATTTTAGGAGAAACATAATGATCAATGATAAATTGTAGTAATATGCTCAATGCTTTGCATTACGCATCTTTTAATTATTAATGAAAAATGTATAATCTGTATTTTAAATACTTGTAAACAAACAAATAATTTATCTGTCATAACAAATACGATGTTCAACACAATTTCTTATTATTTATATATATATATATATGTCAATTTATCAATTGTTAAATATGTTATCTGAATATAATAATCCTGTAATGTATAATTAATACAATAAACTAAAAAGATTTTTAAAAGCGCTGACAACAATATCCCTGGATTGGGGGTAATATCATTTTACTATAAAAAGCACTGAAATCCTTTCAGTCGGAGAGAGACTCTGGAGAGACTCTAAGAAGTGACAGCGAGCGAGACAGTTCGTTTTCTACGAATTGAAATAAGAATAAAAAAAAAAAATAACATTTATCAGTCACAGCCCTGTGTTGTTGTCGGCTGACTTTTACGCATTTTATTTATACATGAAAAGAACTTGTTTTAATTATTTATCTTTTGAAGAAGTGCGAATTAAATACTTTTAAACATATATAAACATATCGAGATATTTATCAAATCATTTTACAGCAATTTGCAAGAATAAAAGAAGTAAGTAATTTTATGTTATCCCAATTATTTGGAGTTAATAAATTTGAGTAAAGGATGACAAAGCAATAGATCATTTATTGAATTAATATCTTAAAGTGTCAATTTTGATTGGTTGGTTAAAGAAGTTATACATAATCATGTTATATGGTATTCGTGAATTGGGTCTGCCGTTTCGTTGCCTTAAAGATGTTTTAAAAAACCTAGCGTGATTTCTACTGTAATAATTAGGCTCTGGTATTCGTGGACTGGCTCTGCCGTCTCGTTGCCTCTTAGTTAGGACATTAGAAACTAACCAGACAAAAGTTTATTATACCTCTATAAGAGGAACTTAACATATATTTTGATATCTACTTGTCTTTGTCGTTCTAAACCCTCGAACCATACGACCCCGATTGAACCACAACATCAGGTTCTCACTATACCCATCGCTCATTTTCATCATTTATATTTTACCAACTTTTTATCAATTTTATTTATATTTTTGAATTATAACAAAATCAATCACTCAATTTATTTTTTTTTGTAATATTTCACACAATTTTTAATTAAGAGTTTATATATTTAATAAGTTCACAAATTAAAAAATTATTAATTTAAGTTTAATTTTCAAATGATTGAAGTGCATAAACAATTTTAAACAGTCCTCTGCAAATTTAAAGTGTTGCACACAAGCGTAAATAATATATGGGGTAAAATCATAAACCCCCATCCCAATATTTGTTCAAAAATTGTTTTATGTAACAATTAACATAATATCTAATTTGATTTGGGAGGGATGGCTTAGCCCATTTAATTGCATCTATGATTGGCAAAGATCATTTAAACATTTTGTATCTGAGGGGGTCCCGAAAATTTGTGCGCGTGGCAAGTTCCTCTGTCATTTCTATTTAGTATACAGGGCCGTATTTAGGGGTTCCTTGGAGGGGCAATAGGTTCCCATAATTTATAGAAGCGAATTTGTAGCAAACCCTACAAAAATGTGTAGGTTAGGTTTAATATTTAATATTGTCAACATACAGTCGAGTTACAAATTGTACCGTAAAACGATTTTATGTTAGCTAAGATGTGCTGCTATAACTGATCGATTTTAATAAATTCTGAATTCGTCTTCATACTCCGTCTTACCCTACATAAAAAAAACTTAAAAGGGGCAGTAATGGGGTTTCAACTCTTTAACATACATTTTTTTTTTAATAATATTTTTATAAATTATTTTACTTTTGGGGTCAACTTGGCCTAGTTAGTAGAAACTTATGTTTTGGTGCATTGAATTCCGGTTTCGATCCCCAGGGTGACAACGAGAATATAATATTATGAGCAATCTGCAGTGGCGGCTCGTGGGTTGGATGATGGGACGATCGCACCCCCTACTAAAATTAATTAAAAGAAGAAAATTAATTGTACATTGTTAGTTCAACATTTTTATAAAAAATGCAAATTTTTAAATAGTAAAACAGTTATAATACATTTGTCGTGTGTGAACATTAAAGTTGTTTCTCTCAGTATAAGAGGATACGTATACACTCACGACCCACAACGTCGTCCCAATAATTTTCTGAGACTTATAAACGTGGCGCTGCAATGGTGTGTGTTTTTGGATACGGTTCAGCTGCGATTTTATGTGCGGGTTTTGGACGACTGACAGTGTCGTTCATACGGTAAAATATTAGTGTATTACTATATTGAGTAATTTATCTCAAGAATTAACTGCGTGTACGTTCGACGTTATCGGTTACTATAACAGTACTATTATTATTATTTTCATTTCTATTTTCTATTGCGACCTTTAAAATAATAATATATGTATTGTGTTTTATTTTATTATATATAATTTTACAATTATTTATACCTATGACTAGTGGTATTATATTTAAAGTCGCATCTCAACTACTAGTACTCACGAGCCGCCATTGGCATTCAGAATGGCCACGTTCTTTGACAACTAATAAAACTGTATAATTATAAAAAAAATGTAAACAATATATATTTGTTTTAAATATGAGAACATTCAATGAGCCAAATGCACAGTGGGAGAAAAATAAATAATAGTAGACTAAAAAATTATCATGCAATACAATTAAAGTTTTATATATTGTATATTATGTGTTAGGTACGATGTATAAATATCATTCATTGGATTTATAGATAAAATATTTATTATTTATAGTTATCAGACGATAATTGTGGTAAGNTAATAGTAGACTAAAAAATTATCATGCAATATAATTAAAGTTTTATATATTGTATATTATATTAAGGTACGATGTATAAATATCATTCATTGGATTTATAGTTATCAGGCGATAATTGTGCTTAGGATAAATGGGTTTATATCGCCTTCTACTGTGTATAGTGTATTTTTCGTTACAATTTTTGTACAATTAAATTAATATATGTATACATTTTCTTTATATTGTGAGATATATCAAAGAGTATTTGGTAAAGAATATTATAGCGTATAATTTACAGTGTTCAATAAGTAAAGAAAAATATTTCTATTGATCTCATTATTTGTGACAATTGACCCGTTTCCTTACTTTTTGAACACCTGTATATAAATACCAAACATATTTATTACTCTTACAATAATTAAAACAATCCTATTTTATTATGTATTATTCTTTATTTTATAAAATTTAATACATGTTTACTTATTATTAGTACAGATTATTCTCTATAATATTATAGTTTCATTGAAAATTTGATCTAGTTTCAGTATATTATATATTTGTTTGCACATATTTACACGATTTTTAATAAATAAATAAAAGATTGAAAAATTCAATATGGCACCTGATAAAATATTTCACCAAAATTCTATTTATTTTTTAAAAATGCGATGATCGATTCCTATAAAACTCATCGAATTTAAGCTAGTTATATGTAAGGGATTCATTTTTTGTAATGGAAAGGGATGTGAAAAAAACGTAAATTCCTTTGAGTAGTATCTAAATGGCGGGTTCTGGGGATCAAAGGATGCCGCCATGGTAATTAGTGTCATACGTCATCAAAAAGTAATAAATTAAGAGTGTTAATGGGTAATTAAATGGTTAATTAAGGTCAATCGTAATTGTTAAAGTTGTAAATCAAATGTGTTATTGTTAAAATTGCGATAATAATGTGGGTTGGCGGAGGGTAGGTGGTCAGCTGACTCGGCGTTACGTCGTTGTCGGTGTGACGTATGCAGCAACGCGTGCCCCTCAATCAGGAGCATCACAGGTGTTACGTAATATAATCGCCCTTAAGGTCATCACGTCACATACAATAATGTTAAAGACTCTGCCCCTGCCTACACCCTCCCCCCGGAGTTGTACGTCAAACGGTCGCGCGTTGTATTGTGTCATCAGAACCGCCGCCGTCGTCGTCGTCGACGGGGTATAAGTTTGATAAACGATGGAAAGCATGACATAGAATACTCAGTCATTTTGAACAAACCCCTAGTACTTTAATTAGCTTTAATTATGCATGCAAAACTAACAAAATCACAGTATACATTAATTAGAATACAAGTTAAAAACAAAAATGTTAATTTATATAAGAGTGTGTGTAAGAAAAGCGATATATCGTTGTTATCACAAAATAACTAAATAAGTATTTCTGAAACTTGCGCAAAAGTTAAATTTTAAACTTTACTCGATCAAGCCGCGTTTCGAATTATATTTTTTATTATATATTTGATTTAATCAGTGAATCAAATTTATTACATTTTGATAAACAATATTTAACACTTATAAATAAATGGGTGTTTGACGGAAATCTAGTATGTCTCAGTACAAACAAAAATGTCTTCTATTGATACTTTAGATATTACAGATAGTATCAATATTTTCATATACTCAGAGTATAGGATAACATTGAAATTAAAAGAAGTGTATTTGGAAAAATTCTAAATCGTCGTCCATTAAATATCGTCAACTTCTAAAAATGCAATTAAAAAAAGAAATCACAAAAAAATATTTTAAAGATATATATAAGATATAAAGTTAGAATACACAATAGTTACTAAAAATAATATAATATTTAATATTAAGTGTGATAGATAGTAAAACATGTAATGCATATGTGTGAAAATTCATCTAGTCAGATTTGTAATGTTTGTCTTTTTCATGGTACACGTTATCGATATTTTTAATAACTGTAAAAAATGTTATAATAAATTAAGGAAAAATATCCACTGCGCCGAATGACGACTTGTCAGTTAAATAAAAATATGCGGGCATGCATTATTTTAAACACTATTTAAACCATTTTGACCTGACCATCGTGGTCAGTCGACTCCAGTACGTTATCAAGATTTATTGTCAAAATGTCAGTCTCAGTACTCGGTTGTCGCTGCCGACTTTCAACCTTAAGACAAGAGGTTGATTGTTCATTTTTAATGCCTTCATTTACCTTGTTTCGTCTCCTGATTAACTCAAGTACTCGTGTCTTGTACTTCGTCTGCATCTTATACCTTGATCCTCCTAAACTTCCTATGTCAACAGCTCTTCGACACTCTCGATAGAACCGAAGTGGCAGTCGAGCATACTATGGCTACCTACTATACACTCATTAGTTTATGTCTCTTCTTATGTCTTACGGCACCTTGTTTCTCCTAAAAAATGAATGATAATGGCGTTGTATGGAAACGACCTACGAATTCAGAAACATTCAACAATGGGTTATCCATATTACACGTATTCAAATATCTGTTACATGTAATCCAACCATTTGGATATTGAAAAGTGGCAACAAGAGATGTATATAAAATTAAGTTGTACTTGTATAAATTAAGAACAAATGGGGTTTATGGTAAATGTTCTACGACCAGGGCCAAGTGGTACATCTAACGATTGTAATACTGCGCATCGATTTCTTGCTAATCCTTCTTTGTGGTCAATAATTATCAGTGAAAATGAAGATTTAATAAGATGTTTTGGTGTAGTATAACAAACGATATCTGCAGATTATGAAATTAATTTAAAATTGTATTCTATTAGCGCGCCTACGAATATAACACTAAATTTTTCGACACAATATTGAATTCAAAATTAAATAATAGAATAATGATTAAGTTGGAAGGTTATGTAACTCAAAAAACTCTATGATACAATATTTTGTTAAGTGAGCTGGAAATTTACCCCGTCATGGTGTACTATTACTTTTTTAATTATTATCATTTATCTATCTTTTAAATTATAATAATCAACGTCTTAAAAACAGATCAATTATATTAATATATGTCTGTTTAGTGGTGACGATTAATTCTACTACTTTTTCTTTAGGAAAGTGAAAGTAAAAATGAAGAGCAGTTTTCCTCCAGTTTTATTTTGGTATAGATACAATGTNTTTTCCTCCAGTTTTATTTTGGCATAGATACAATGTCAGTCGTAGACCGTTTCCGAGTTTGATTTCTCCGCTTTTACACTCGGTTTGCTGTAAGTAAAAATTAATTCTATAAAATTTTTGACGGCTTAAGTTTTTTTTAACTTTATACGTTGGATCTCACGAAATTCAATTTTTTTTTTTGTTAAATTGAGATTTTTATCACTTAAACTGTTTCATACATAAAATACATATACCAATATTAGTTTTAAGTTATTATTAATGATATTTTAACATTAAGATTTTAGAAACAACAAGATAATTTATTTTTCAGATGAAAATGAATCTATATTGGTACATGTTTATAGTAACAGTTATAATGCTTCTTCATGCGGATGCAAAAAAACCTAAAAAAACAAGAAACATAAAAATGGACAAACGATCTCAAAGAACTATTGTCCCTTACATTGATTTTGGTGCTCATACAGGATCGCATGGATCATACGGATGGTACGCTGATTTTCCAGCCCATATAAAATAATGCAATCGTTCAAATGTCTTTTTTTACAATTGTTATAATTCTTTTAATAAAAATTTATAATTTCATCAAAATTTGCTTTTTAAAAATAAATATTCATTGTTGAGGAGTGATTCCTTTTAATTATAATATTAATAGTAAATAATAAATCCTTCAGTTATTTTGATTTGTAATTTTTTAATAAGGTTTAGTATTTACAGGGAAAAAAATGGTCAAGAGGTCTAAGGGAGTTAAACTGTCCAGGCCCTTTTAAATTAAGTAATTAGTGAGATCTATGATTTTTTTTAGAATTAAAGGAACAGCACTTGTATTACTTGGGCTGCTTTCCAGGAATACATTTCCTCTCAATCCACACCTAACATTACATACAATTTTATTTAGTCTTACTGTATTATATCATATATGTGTTATAATAAAAATAAATGTGTTTATATACTAGTTATAAAATAAGTTTCAGTCTGATTTACTTTCAGGTATAGATAGAAATTTGGTGAATTTTTTAGGGCGGCTAGAATAATAATTTAAGGGCACCTTACATATATTAAAAATAAATTAAAATTTTGAAGGACAACATTTTATACTACCTGAGACATGAGGTCATGAACCATCTGATAAAAAAGGTAAATATTAGAGTGGTTGTTCAGAGTTAAAAAGTTATATTGTTTTGAATTAGGTAGGTATGGAAACCGGTCTCCAGAAATATTCGAATACATGATAAAATTTATAAAACAAAATTTTGTAATAACCAAATAACTTTGAAGTTCCTTGAGTGTTAAAATGGATATTAGTGAAGAGAAAATTTTGCAGTGACGTTAACGATAATCATATTTTTTTCCATTGATATAATTATTTTATCGTAATCTTAGAAGATCTTTATTATTAAAAAAAAACTGAGATTAAGATAAAATATTCGAATGCAAAATTGTTTGCAGTAGAGTGATAACAGTTATAAAACAGCATGTTATAATACTGATAGGATTTTTAAATTTAATAAATATTTTTTTATTACAACTTTTATTTAACTTTTTCATCAATTAATTATGACTTTATTATTGAAAACTTCATTAATCCTTAAAAATAGAGCAACTTCACTAGTTTCATGTTTTAATGTGTATACGAGGTGCTTAAGTGATAATACAGTACTATCTGAAAATAACACTAGTACTTTGGCAACTACAACTTCTCTAGTAATAATAAATGATATTTAGTAAGAACATTTTCTAATAGTTTTATTTTATTTGCTACAGCCTGTAGGAGAACTAGATAAACTGTATAAAGTTATTGAATTTGAATGTCGTGGTAATGATCCAGCAGTGTTGCGGAGTTATACTCAATTTACTTCAATGACAGCAAATGAATTAGGTATTGAAGTAGGAAAATGGTTAGTAAAAAGATAAAAATAAAGTTCTCTAAAATATTTTTTTGTGTATTCAATAAAAAATTAAAAAAGAAAAATAGTTATTTAATAGTGTATAAATGCAACATCTATCTTCTATTCTTGTAAGATAGTCTCAATCTGTGAAAAATATTTATATTATTAATACTCAGTAACTGACAAATTATTAAGTCACCTGAATAGAAGGGAAATTTCTATATGGTAATGTGCCTTACTTTTTTATTTTTTGCGCATTGATTTCAAAATTTCTTAAATGTATTATTATTGTTCTATGTCACACTAATTTTTTATAACAAATAACTTTTCAATCAGTATTGCATAGT